GGGGGGGGGGGGGGGGCAAATAAGGTGCATTATGGGAAATGTAAAAGTGGGGTTTAGCGAAAATCTGGTAGTGAACATTTCTGTGTGTAAAATAATGTTAGAAGAGAAATACTGTAAAAAGCATGATCTTTAAATATTAACATTTTTCAAGAGAATAACTTATTTCATCCCGAGATGATCTTGTTTTAAACATACAAAAGATACAGGGTAATTAATATTTAACTCTGTGAAACAAAAGAAATTAATTATTAACTTTTTCGTCAACCTTAACTGAAAAAAAAATAACCGATAGGCATAAATGGGCCAAAACTTCAGCCGATAACCGTAAAAGTCACTACCCCATTTAGATCCTCGATCTGTTTGAACAGCCGTCAAAAATGAAGAGTGGGATAATTTTGGAGCCTAATTGTGAGACACTTCATTGAAGCTTATATCACAGGAATGATTGAAAGAGGACTGGAGTCCAGCTCTGAAAGCTACCAAATAAGGAAAATCTCAGGCGATATTTTGTCAGTACTTTTCACCCCTCCCTCTTTCATTTACTTGTTTCCTTGCAGCACAGGAGGCGTTTGTGTCGTACTTGGTGAATTTAGCTTCTTTTGAGAATGTCTGGCGATCTAAGCGCCCTCGTTGCTCGTCTAGAAGCTGTAACCGCTCGTCTGGAGTCTGCTGCTGACAAGGCGAGTGGAGGAGCACCAGAAGGTATGATTGAATCTTTGCGAACAGAGGGAAGTCTCGGGTCAATATATTTAAGACTCAGACATTTCCCTTACTCTAACTTGCGTGCTTATCTTTTTATCTATTTATATTGTTGGAATTGCAGATGTTGGAGTGTTGGTTGCAGCTTACGACGAGGTATAATAAGACGTTTTGTTGAATGCGACAAAGTTTCCTGGCGGAGTTTGTCAAGTTAAGCTTAAATTTTTTGATTGCTTCCTGTCACGTAGGTGTTAAACGGCAAAGTGGCTGAATTTTATCAGCTTTCAAGCCAGATTGGTGGAGATGTAGACACGCAGGTAAAAGAACCTTCAAAAATTATGTCAAGTAACCTGGTCTTGTTATGAAGAACATGGTTACCAGTGAAGTATCATTTCATACAGCTTCCTCATCGTTATTATTAAGCTTATATTTGTTATTATTATTATTATTATTATGTTATTGTAATCTTTATAAGCTTATTAGAAATGTTATTGTTGTTGTTGCTGTTTTTAATGTTATCTCCTTGCTGCTCGTTGCACCTCTTCCCCGATCTTAATCAGTAATGTAGAGTCCAGTGAGCGGGAGTCTGATTTGTTTGATCACGACATTACAGACCTGTTTGGACGATACAAACTGCTGTTACCAGTTAATCATGGTTAAACTCAAAGGCTCTCTCTCAAAATTTTTCTGTGAAAAGACCCCATCCCATCCCATGTGGGGGTGACCACACTATCCAATAGCCTCCCACGCAGATGTTCTAAGGGGTTCATCACGCGTTCCTGCCCCATGAATGCTGCTGACTTGAGCGGAAAAAAAACGTAGACCAATCACAGCAGACTTCCAGATTTGGGAAGTGCACTTTGGACTTTGAGAAATTTTGCGCTTCACTTTATAGCTCCAGAAAAGATCAGAAAGGTCTCATGAAAGGTGAGGACCTTACAGTTTTAGAACAAACTACTCAGTTAACTCACAAGCATTCGTACTAGTGGCTGTCCTTACAATCTCATTAAAAAAATTACCTCAGAGGTTAAATTTGCTCAACGGAAGTCGGCTTTACTACAAAGCAATAATGTGTGAAAAAAAATCTGCCTTTTGTTCAGTCTTACAAGGTGACTCCGCTGTTGCATCACCCAAAGAACAACTTTATGAGCAAATAACATCTAATCCAACCCTTACGGAGAGAAATACATACAAAAAGCCAACGATTATCTCCTAGATTCTCATCCAGAGCAAAAATCTTTGGTCACGTATCACACTCTACAGCGCTTGTACGTAAGTGTTTGGCTTGTCAACACTTTGACTTCAACAGCGCCGATTGGTTCTCCGATAATCTATATGTGATTTCCAGCTGATACTTGCGAACAATGGGAAAGGAATTTATCTTTCGGTTCAGCAGACGTTCGTGGAGTAGGAACGTGTGATGAACCCCTAAGAACGTCTGCGTGGGAGGCTAACTATCCAGTTACTTAGGCATGACATGTACTGTCCTATTACACTGATCTATCAATGCTGCAATCAGTGCTACTGATAGCCAATCAGACTTGAGAATTTCTTATAGTTGCCATTAATGACCCTTAAAAATCAGAGTATAAGTAATGTTTCATGCAAATATTTATCTCAATTTTAACGTAGGGAAAACCATAAGCACTACCCAGTCTACTTGCCATGGTGACCAAGAAAATGGTCTCAGCTTGAAGTTATGCTTGAAACCTTTTTCTATTGATAACATACTTATCATTTTTTAGAGTTTCAACAAACTATTTTAGGGCTTTCAAGAGTATGGAAAAGTCAATGGATGCAAAAAAAACGTAATGTGTGTCATGCTTGAATGTGCTGGATTATTCCACAGGTTAAGCTTGTAAAGAAGGCATTTGATGCTCAGCGAGGAATTATTGTTCTTGCATCTAAGAGCCAGAAGCCAAGTATGGTAAGGATATCAGTAGTTATCATCAGTTAAGAGAGTAATACATTCATTACAATTTGGGGATGTCAAAACTAACTGATTCAGGGGTTTAAAGGTAAAGGTCGTTATTTTCTCCCAGTAACTTGTAACAGTGCTTAAACTGACAGCAGACCTGAGGCTGATGACGTGCTCATTTTGTGTGCCTCTCTCCACCAGTGCTTCATTCACAGAGATTTAAAGCTACTAAAAGCTACACAGAAAGAAAAGAAGTCGAAACAGTGATTTGAGGTCACTCCGTGGAATCAAATTCTGACCTGCCCACACAGAAGGTTGTGCACCAACCAACAGTGCTAGACCTTGCTTGTTATATTGCACAAGTCATCATCAAGACAGTCATCTAAGGGTTGTTGTTAGGGGGAAAATGCCAGATAGTGCGTAGATAACGAATAAGGTGGACAGTAATGACCCTTACACAACTGGTTTAGTGACAGCACATTTATGGATTTGACATTAAACAAGGTAGCAATCAACATTTGCAGTAACACGGCATTGTCCCCCTTAATGTCATTTGGATTTCGCAATGTCAGGAAACATTTTCTCAGACATCATGTGACCTTGAAGTAGCCAGTAATAGGGCATTCTGTTGAGAAAAAATATCAAGTCCAACAGCAAAAATTTGCCATGTCCTTTCTCTATTTTATCAACAACATGTTTTTAGGCTTGTTGATTCAGACATTGCTGAGAGGAGTAGGCAACTTGAAGGAATGTCTGAAATTCAGGCTACCTAATTTGCACAAGAAAGCAAAACCCTGGAGGATTCTGGTAGAAGTAGTAGTAAAATGACGCCATCGTGCAATTAGCTTATTCTGTTATTTTTGTTGGTCCTAACAGTATGTTTTATTGTCCTATCTGGGGCACATCTATTTACACCTCTATCTTCAAATCAAATGTGTGATCAAGTCCTAAAAGAAGTGATTGTCTTTAGTTAAACTTATATATATATGGATTTGCCATTCTTTTTTGTATTATAGGATGAATTTAAAAAGATACTGAAGCCTTTAGGTGATGCTATTTCTGAAGTACAGGTACATAACAGTGTTACAGGATATTTTACTTTTATAATAGAGTTAACTAATTAGAGCTTATTGCAGCCATCATTTTACCCTAATACTCAAAAACCCTTAGTTTTGTTGGCTACATTTTGTATTCATAAATTATTTGGAAACATGTGTCAACCCATGACATTCACTTTCAGAACTCTGTAGAAGTAATATTTCTTTCAAATAGGAGTTCTTTGTCCCATAATTGATTGGATTGTGATAACTTATATATTTACCAGTGTTGCTCCATTAGAAGTAAAACCCAAAAGGCAGTCGATTTTTATTTTACCTTTTTGTAGGGCTTCCGTGAGAAGAATCGTAGTAGTAAATTGTTCAACAATCTGTCAGCTGTGAGTGAGGCCATCCCAGCATTAGGTTGGGTATCAGTGGTAAGTTAATTGGTCTTTTCTTATACTCTTATACTCCAGAGTTACTTAAGATATAAATACTGAAATAAGAGCTTCAGCTACAAAGCATAGCAGATTATCAGTCACTACTGTTTCTTCTTACTGTCTACTATCAGAATGATTCAGAACTTGTTACTCAGTGGTGGTGTGGCTTCATGGTCAGGCCATTCTCTTGTAGCTTCACTTAAAATTATAACTTTTAATGATGTCATTTCTGTTGTTCATAAAAATACATTATTGTATGCTAGTTGTTCCTTCTTGATGCCCAAAATCAATAAAATATAATATGACAGTGTAAAAGGCAAAATATAACTGACCTTTCTTACTGTCTTCACCTCATTGTGTATTTTTTTAAGTGATGTGTACTTTCACTTAGAGTCCTACACCTGCACCATATGTCAAGGAGATGTTAGATGCTGCCCAGTTCTACATGAACAGAGTCTTAAAGGATTTTAAAGGAAAGTAAGTTATCTTCTGATAATCAGATAATACCAGCCAGCCTGTCGCTAAAGTACAATATGCCAATAGCCAAATAGCCAGCAAAATGACATCATAAAAGTAGCCAGAGGTTAATCAACCACCAACAATTCAACAGTTTCACAGTTGTTTTAAATGTAATCCAAGAAAAAATTGCCTGGCTTAAGTCTTGTAAGGCATATGTTGTAGTAGCAGCCTTTTATAGTGTCGGCTGGGTTGTGATTGTACTGCAAGCCAGTTCACAGCTTGAATTTGTGTGATTTCATACCAGAGATGAGAAGCATGTGAATTGGGTGAATTGTCTGAAAGCTGCTTTGAGTGACCTCCAAGCTTATGTAAAAGCACACCACACAACTGGCCTGGTGTGGAGTAAAACTGTAAGTAGTGTCGATATTGTTTTGATGTAAGATAACATTCACATTATCTAGTAGATTCAATTTTTGTTCCCTGTTTGCAGAGGTCTCTCACTGCAATAGAAAAATGATATGAATGAGAGAGACCTCTGCTGGCCCCTGCTTGCACTGACATTTCCTTAACAACCAGTAACATTTTATTTACAAGCGACACAACTTATTGAACCCGTTTGCATAATGAAAACGGTTGGCTCAAAAATTTCCAGCATGCAGCATGCAGTCTCAACAGGACACACGCATTCCATATTAAACAGAACCAGTTTTTTCAGGTGCTGGCAGAGGTCTCTCTCTTTCCTCTCCTTTTCTTCCTGTGAGAAACCTCTGCTACCAGGGAACAATTTGGGTTGAATTTGTTTAGTTGCAGATCATAACTGATGTTTTGATATATTAAGAATAGATAAGTGGGTCCTTCTGTATGTACTGACAAACTACAAGAGCCAAAAGAACCAGGCAGGAATGTCTGCTTGGGAGTTGTACTGTTATTTTGCGTAATCTGTTCTCTTTGGTACCTGCAGATTGAATCAAAAAGTAGGATGTTCCAACATCTTCAACACTGGGAGAAAGGAATTTATTGATTTTAACAATATGTAAACAACACTGCAAACATCCACACAGCACTGCAATATTTGTTCTTGATTATTTAGGGATATTTTTGTTAACTTCTAAAGCTAAGTATTGACGGTTCATTCAATATTTTTTAAAATAGGGAGCAGTTGCAAAAGCTAGTGCAGGGTCTGTACCACCTCCTCCTCCTGGACCTGCACCACCTCCCCCTCCCCCAATTCAAGCACCATCACCAGCTCCTTCTGGTCAAGATACCCAACGAGGAGCTGCAGCTGCTTTGTTCAGTGAAATAAACAAGGCAGGCACCAACATTTCCTCAGGTATGTCATATCTGCAGTACATATTCAAAACTAGACTGTGAAGAGACCCTCTGTATTTTGTGCTGGACCATCAAATTTAATTATGGAACTGCACTCTTGGATCAAGTGATAAAAAAGTCTGGGAAGAGGACATACATATATTTACCCTGTATGTGCCCCTGGCCATCACAGCTCATTTTGTCATTTTGAAGTCAATAAAAAATACTGGACATTTTGTTGTAGGATTACGGAAAGTGCGAGATGATCAAAAGACCCACAAGAACAAAGATCTAAGGAAAACTGGTCCAGTTCCAGACAAACCAAAACCTGCTGTTGTCAGTGCTCCCAAGGCTCAAGCTGTTAAGAAGCCTCCAGTCTGTGGGCTGCAAGGAAAGAAATGGCTTGTGGTATGTACAACACCTGAGTTAAAAAATAGAAGTTATGTGTTCTTAACTTCTACAAATTGAAGCCAACAACAATCGGGGAAAGGATCTGAGATTATGACCTAAGAATATTACTTTAATCCTGCGATCAAGCTCTCTCTGTTTGGGTCTCTGATTTAAGGCTCCCCCACCCCTCCCCTCCCCTAGCCAAGAGACCTTACTAACAGGCGGACGGGTTAATATTATGAATGATTTATCAGGTTGTTGAATGACACATTGATTTTAACTGCAGGAGTATCAAGAAAACAACAAAGAAGTTGTTATCTCTGATGCACATTCATCACATACGGTGTACATTTATAGCTGCAAGAACAGCACCATTCAGGTCAAGGGAAAAATTAATTCCATGGTTGTAGGTTAGTATCAATTTCAATTGTTATTGTGCTGGAGTTTTAAAAGCATGACCTTGTCAAAAATCTGCATTTTGTTGGGCTGCTAGGTTTGAAGACGTGTTCAATAGATAGTATTGTAGAAGAATCCATTGTTAAGATTAGTGTCTCTTACTTGCTGTGTGACATGTCTGTTGTTGATTTTGTCAGATAACTGTAAGAAGACAGCAGTAGTTCTTGATGGAGCAATTGGTACTGTTGAATTTATCAATTGTCAAAGTGTCCAGTGCCAGGTCAGATGATTATTTTCTTGTATGAAAATGTCTCCAATTTTTCTTTCTTTCTTTCTATTTTTTTGCATTAAAGTCTTCTTACTTGCAAGTCTTCGCCAACTTATATTATCTGATTTGCATTTTTTCAAGCCGTTTAATTGTTTTTGTGAATATTTGATTATCTTACCGCAACGGGGCAAAAATAGATCAGGTGACTAGTTATTTTGAAAACCTAGAAGTTCGTTACGCAACTCACATTTCAAAAGTGTCATCACCGATCGCATATCGAAGCTTACTAGCCGCATATGGAACACAAATTGTAAGTATAATATTTGCCCATCGCTTCAACCAAAACTGACATGTGTAATAACCTTCTTTGTGATATTAATTTAATTTTTCAGTTGATTACTACTTCTTGTTCTTTACAACTACCAGTGCAAATAAATTCCATGTACAGTCATGTACGCGAAAATCAGTTAGTGGTGAAATCTTCAACATAAAGTAGCCCTTCAATCACAGGAGCGAAACATTATCACAATCAAAGTGGTTTACTTGTGTCTTGTAATTTTTATAATAATACCAAGAACAATGTACAATTTCATCGTAGCAATAATATTGTTGATGGTCTACACATTCAGGCACTTGTAGTGTGTACCCTAGTTGTCAGTAATTTATTATTGTTGTTTCTTCATGAGCTCAACAAATGTAATACCAAAAGTCAGTCAAAACTTTATGAACTGGACAAAGATGATGTAAAACAAGACTTCTTTGTTTTCTGTTCAGGGAAAACTCTGCTTGGCATTGTTTCATGGTTTTGGTTCTTTTGTTTTACGTTATCGTCTGTGTCCAGTACATGAAGTGAATGCCCAAAAGTCTGATTGTACTCTGCCAGTGCATCCCCCTCGTAAGCTGAGACTGGCAGTATTTACTTTTTTAGATTTATTTACAGAGCATAACATTCTCACATACAAAACACATAGAATAAAAAACAAACCACTTGTTTTGTCATATGACAAAATAGTGTTATGGGGAACATAACCTTCCTCATGCCAGTTGTGGGTAGATAAATGTATTCACGTAAGTTTTCATCTGTTTGTAAGCTTTGTTTGTATTCCTACAGGTCAATGAGAAGGTTCCAACAGTGTCAATTGACAAAACTGATGGCTGTCAAGTGTTCTTTCCTAATGGTATTGGTTCAACGGAAATAGTTACTGCTAAGTCTTCAGAGATGAACATTATGCTTCCCAAAGATGGTGAACAGGACATGGTGAGTACAAACGTAACTCCTCACTGCCAGCAGGAAATTATCATATTTTGTTACTACCCAATGTTGGTAATGATAAACTGTTTGCTTTCAAAATTGTAGACTCCCTGTACTGCATGTTCTGTAAAAATGAGGTGGAATCTCAGAGCATTTATTTATTTATTTTTGCAAAGTAGTGGATATGTTTTGGGAAGAGGTTTTATCATGGATAGCCCTTTGTAGTAATGAAGTAAAGGTTATTTCCTTTCCAGACGTTTTTTTTGGTAAATTCAATACCGATAAAGATTTTACGATAATCAATCACATCCTTTTATTAGCAAAATTCTTTATTTATGTGTAAATAAGATAAAAAAGAACCACACTTGACGTTGTTAAGGCTAAATTGAAAGCTAACTACAGATTAGAACTTTGTGTTGCCAAAAAAAATGATGTTCTTTCAACGCATTATGCGAAATGGGATGCATATATTTCGATACTTTCTTAATCCCTGTTTCTAATACATTACTACATCACTTGATCAACACGTTTTTGCCGCGCAGTACATAATATACGCAATATTTAAATGTATATCTTTTTTGAATTTTCTCATTGTTAATTTCTTAATATTGGCCTTGCTCTTTTTTTCTTATAAATATCTTAACAGCTTATGTTTTTTGTTGTATGTTTTTGTTGTCGTTGTTATTGTTGATAAATATGTAATTTGTGAAGCTTTAGTTTGTTTTTTGTCAGGCATCTACTATAAGTAATTAATGTTGATATTGTAGTGTAATGTAATGTAATGTAATGTAATGTATCGAAAGGAAAGGAAAATAAAAAATGGAAAAAAAACTACGCCATGTTTAAGTATTAAATACAATTTGTGCAGGCAAGTTTCTTATGTACTAACCAAATCAAGGTAGTCGGCAGGGACAGATCCAGAAAATTCAGAAAGGGGAAACTGGGACGTCTGCTACACAGATACTATTTATTTTATTTAAAAATAACACAATATTCAAAAAGGAAAGGATGGGGTGTTACTGTTGTACTGAGCAAAGGGTATCAAGTGTGTCTAGTTATTCTTCTCTGTCGTGCAACCTTCACAGCAGATTGCGTGGTGAAGAGTACACTTGTGTTTTAGTCTTACTGTTTGTTTTGTTATTGTTTCAACAGGGGGAATATTCCCTGCCTGAACAGTTTAAGAGCGTATGGAATGGCAAGACATTTGTGACCACTAGCAGTGAATCTCTTGGATAAATGCAGATGGATTGCAAGCAAATTTTGAATTGCATGGCCTCAGCAGTGAAATACATTTTCAGTACACACAATTTAGAATCAGCCTCTTGCATATTATTTGAAAAATAATAGTAATAAAAACTACTCTTTTGAAATTTCTCTAATTCCAGCTTTTCGATTCAGTGATGTTCAGATGCCAGTTTCTAAATGCGGATGCAGATAGGGCCTTGGTCGTTCATTTATTTGTTCAGGAATTACTCCACTTTTTGGAATTAAGGCACAAACATCCCCGTGATACGAATGCGTCATTTAAGTCATTTAAGTCGTTAAAATACTTCAAGCGGTCAGTTCTTTATTTTCTTGGTATGTAGTTAGCAAGAAAAAAGTGATTTTATAAACATTTTTTACCTTTGACAGTTAAAGATAGATGATGACTATTTTCCTTTGGCACTATAGTGGCAACCAAAAATAAAGTACCGATGTTAACTTGATCTGCCTTCGTACATAGGATTCTCTACGTGTTCGTCGTAAGATTATCCCCGGCAACACTACTTTTTACTTATTGGGTTGATTTCCTTTCTTCCACTCCCAAGCTTTCACCTGGTATTTCTTTGTTATTTCCAGGTGGAGGACTCGGCACCTGCTTGTTAGTCGGGTGCGGGAGCTTTGGATCATATCTTTGGAGTTCCTTTATGCATCCAAAATATCGAAAACGGTACCAGGACGCTATGTATATGTTATCGAGTTAAATGGTGGCTGCAGTTAGAGAACAAGGGAAAATCGCGTGATGACTCGTGTGCCATGGTGAACACATGAGAAAGATGTTATGTTTGCAATGTCACGAGCCAGCAATGGTGGATCCACGGAGGGTACCCAGGCGCTACTCCGCTATACAGTTTTAGACCAAACCCAACCTGTTTTAGCCTACATAACAGGCGTTATTTTTTCGGGTTTTCAGGCGAGCGGAGGTAAGCGCGGAGCTAGCCTGCGTAGCTGACGGGATAAGTGGGAGTGCTGTAGTTTACCCCGGGCACAAGAATCCTGCCAGCTACGCAGACTAACGCGAAGCGAGAGGGGAACGCCAGACACGCTCGTTGGGGGAAGGCACAAAAAAAATAACGCGATATATTTTTTTCCCCGTCTTTCTTCATGCGCGTGTCTGGCCCTCTTCACTCGCTTCACACTAACCTTCGCTCGCCTGAAAAGTCTGAAAACCTGAAACCTTAGCTCCTCGATAATGCATGGCTCAATTTGACCTGTTACCATCCCCCGGGGGTAGTCCAGGCCTTCCGTGCCGGGGGTGGGAAATTGTTTGAAGGAGTCCTTTCCCTGTGGTAGGGGGTGGGGCAAATAAAAAATAACCTCTCTTTGATTTTGCGAAGGACGTGTTACTTCTCTATACCGGGAGCCTATGACTCATAGTCATGGGCTCCTGAGACTGCATACTTTCAAGGGAAAACGCAGCAATTTGTCAGAGAGTGGTTGGAGAAGAATAACCTATCACAGGAGCATATGATAGCCTCCTGCCTATCAAAATTAAAGTCTGTATTTGCAGGTATGTTTTGAAATTTTAAACAAATATGGGTATGATGCGTTCTCGAATGGGATTTTTTGCAAAAGAAACAAAGAAATATTTCTTCAGCCCAGCTAAATGATAAGACAACTTTCAAAATATGTACAAGGACACAAGATTTTAAATACATATAAATAAACAGCGATTCAGTCCAGTGTTCTTATGAAGTGTTCTAGCGAGGAGTTTCCTTCATTTCTTCCTTTTCGCTTTCGAATGTATTGTTCACGTGTTTAAAAAAATCGTGTTGCTATTCTACAGAACTCAATGGTGCTCTAAAAAAGATGTAGCCAAAACAACGTATATGAGTTTGATCGAGGGTTCAGGGTGGGGAATTGTCTCACGCGTGCCCGGGGTTGGGAATAGACCACCAGGAAAGAAAAAAACTGCAAATTTCCGGGGGTATGTCCCGGGGGGGGGGGCATGGTAACGGTTGAAATTGAATCATGCGTTAATACCCCGGTAACTACAATATAATAACCAAGTCTTAAAAAAGAGAAACATTTCCTTACGTTTCTATTGCTTAACACCTACACCTCAAAGTTTGGGAAGTATCCATGATGACTGCTTTTCGCCCCACTTTAATAATTAGGGAATCCGGATTTCCGGAATCCGGGAAATTTTTGCCTGTGAAATCTGGAATCCTGGGCATTGGAATCCGGAATGCCACTAACGACTGGAATCCAGAATCCAAGTTCCACTGATAAAGGAGGGGGGCGTAAGGGTTTGCGGTGATGCGGTTTTGCGTTATTTTTGGTGCGGTTTTGCGGTAATTTTTATTTTAACTCGCGGTATTGTGGTTTTTTAACACTAAGCGGTTTGCGGTTATTACAACTTTTAAGTCGCGGTTTTCGGTGAAAAAAAAAGTGTCTCCGGTGATAACACTCTTTAGAACGGTCGGCATCCGGTTGTTTAGCAAGCGCGAGCTAAGTGTTTTGTTTTACAACGCATCAGGGTTCATTATATCAGCTTACAATTTAACTCTGTGGTTTGCAATTACAGCCTTTTCCAGTTAATACTTAATGTGATTAACCGTTTTGGCCAATGATGCGTCGACTTCGTGAAATTTCATGCCGGATGTTAGCTCGTACAGCCGTACAGCCTCGTGTTCTCGTTGCTTTTATTCAATGCGCGACAATGGAAACTGAGGTCGTTGAGGTCGCAACTGAAAGTGAAGAGGACGTAGTAATTAATTGCGTGGCAATCTTCTATGAAGAAGGAAAGGAAGGGGAGAATTTCAGAAAAAAGAACAAATTTCGTTGTAAGGTAAACAAAAATGAGAAGCGCCTCATTAAATTGAGAGAGACAGTTTGGTAAGTACTACCACGTTCAAAGCTCGCCTTCACAGTCCAGTTGACAAAGTGACTGCTCTTGGGAAAAACCTCAAGGCCAAGGAGATCCATTGCTGCGAAGGTATCATATTTCTGGCTTCGGACAGTGGTCCAATAAAGGTAATCGAATTTAAATAAGGATCGATTTACATGACAAACACAGAAAAGAAGAAGAAGGATGATCTAATCCAGTTAGCTACAGCGTTGAACGTATCACCTGCTGGGACTGTTGCAGAGATAACGTCAAGGCTAAAATTATATTCTGAAGCTGTCAAACACCATTATTTAACGCACACTGTCCGAAATGACGAAATTCATTTCTGGGATAGAGTAACGCAGCCAAGCTTTGAAGCTATGTTTTGTGTAGACAGTGATTTGATTTATGCAGCTGAAGTCATTGATAAATCAATCATCTCCCTCCAAATAGAAAAGGACGGTGTTGTTGTTAAAGGTATGAACTTTCAGGCAATTGTTCCTTACGGGCCCACCTGGAAGAAGGTAAACAGCATGTGCCTTAATAGCGGGAATCTATTCCTTTCACATGGGCAAGGAATAAGCACTGTCAATCTGGAAACCTGTGAATACAGATTAGCCGTGGAGCTTACTAATCAGCCCTGTGTTCTGACAAGTTTTGGCGAAGACGTCCTGTACACAAACCAAACGAAGGCGTCTGTATGGCAACTAAGTGATAACGGCAATCACCTACGTTTGTTTGAAGGCTCTGACGAAGAAGAAGGGAGTACTGATGGCCCGGTCAAAGAGTGTCGCTTCAAGCAACCGGTAGGCATCTGCTCTGAGTTCGGAAGTGTGGTTTATGTTTGTGACGCTCAGACGAACTCCATCAAACTCTGTACCAAACTACAAGAACGCGCACACTTTCTCAAAGCAATTGGCTGTCTCTACGAAGCCTTTTCCGTGCACGACAGAGGTGCTCATTTCTCGGTCAAGTCTTCAGGAGAAGCCATTGGTCTTGTGGGGCAGTGCAGACAGATGCTTGACGAGAACACCCGTGGCATTCAAAAGTTGACTGGCATCCACACCACACTTAATGGACCGCAGGGGCATGTGTCTGCCACGACAGTGGCATCAGTTGCCATGATAGACAGGTCTACAGAGATTGCATGCTAACCTGAAACAATTTAAGTATGACCACACAAACCTATTAAGCTGCATGACGCTTGATGTCGAGAACTGCCACGCTGCTGTATATGTAAAGCAGGCAAACTTATCCCAGGCAGAGTACTGCAAGTCATTCGGAACTACTATGAAAGAGACGGTAAAACGCGTAACCAACTGGGCAGCGTACTATCACACGAGCAGGCGATCATGGTACCCCACTCCAGAGAGAGCCTTGTTGCTGTCCCAGGTTCCTGTGATGAATCCTCTTCCTATCGTCAACATGTGTCAAGTAGACTGTGATTCACTTAGGGACTGGGCCGCCTCCTATGGAGCTGCCGTAAGACAGCGAACTGTACGCCAAGAGACCACTATGGCAAGACACGGTACACTCCCTGAGTTTATGTACCAGAGACAATGTGAAATCTTTGAGAACCCTGTCTCCATTGCGTTTGACGTGCAGTCTGATGATACTTCAGACGATGCCGCAGTAAACCAGTTGGAGGAAGAGGAGGGGGACAATTTTGATGAAAGCAGCGATGAAGAAGTTGAAGAAGATTCCACGTTGCTCCAAGGGGAAATTGGAAGTTCGGCGACATTCTTAATAGGTGCAAGAACTCGGTACGGAAGAGCTGTACGTTTTAACAATCGTCTTCTCCACTGAACGTGAACTCCTTACGAGACAAGAAAGTCACAATTCCAGAAGAAACATTTATTCCGCGTTCCACAACTAGCACAGGGTCGTCCAAAGTAATCAGTCACCCAATGTAAGACGTACAGGATCAGTGACAAAGTTTTTCAAAGTCAAGGGAGATATCAATACTCGTTCAAGTACATGACCAGCATACTTGGCATTTGGTTAGTAGTAAATAGAGTATAATAGTGTAGTACAATATATCGCTGGCGTTATGATGGTATGTTTAATACTAACGCATAATGTTATCAGAGTATATCCCAAATCTTGCTAACGTCAGCTTTCATATTGTGGCCTACATGTACGCGCGGTTTCGGTATTCGGGAAAAAATCCGATGCGGTTTGCGGTTTTTTGGCGTATTTCGGTGCGGTTTTGCGGTTTTCGGACCCCCCTTACGCCCCCCTCATAAAGGCAGGAATCCGGTACCTGGAATTCGGCCAACCATGCCAGCCTTTGTAAAGGGGCTGATAAACATGATCATCAGACTGTGTAAAGCATGACGTGTTATCAGACGGTCCTTCTTCCCCTTTGTTAGGGAAGCCCGTCGCTCTTTCCCTATAAAAAGAATGCCTGATCGCAGTTGTCAATATATAAAGTACTTTGCAAAGAGGGCTTCATTGTAGGTACCGGACGCTGTGATGTGAGTTCTAAGTTTAGCTGCAAAAATCTGTCAGGCGTTTGTTGCGTCTGAGCCAACCAATCACATTGCAAGATCAATCAGGCACAAAAGCACCAAACCCCTAACAACCATTGTTATTGAAATCGGGGGTAAACGGTCGCCAAGCGTTCCCTTGAGAGAAATATTTGAGTTTTAAAACGCTTCGTCTGGCAACCGCAGAAGGAATAACATATAAAATATTTAAGATTTGTAGAGAAGTTGTTAATTCTTAGAAGCCTGGATATTTCTTAAGCTACAGGGATCCGGCAGAAACTTGTGGACGCCATATTTGATCTGTTGAATATCTCCTTTCGAGCAGCGCCGTTAACTTGAAACACGTACGCCATACAGCTGTTCAGTTTAAACAGTTGGTCTTGCTTGTAGTTATCTACGACATTGAAATTTTCCCGCTGGTTTAGAAGCCTCTAAATCAAGTAACTGCTGACTACTTTTTCACAGCAATCGAAGCCACTTCTTACAGTTGTTACTACGAATTGATCGTCTGCAGTCTGCAAGAGTACTGGATCTCGATCAAGGTGAAATTTTTCATCATGGAGTTTGAATTCGTCATGTATCCAAAGCTGATTCATCAAGTGAATTCGATCTGGTAGCAAATGCGAGAGTACCCTTAAATATGAGCACAGATTTGAATGTTATATAAATACCAAGGGTGGTAAGGAAGTGTAGCGCGTGTGTTCCATCACTGAACCGTAAATCCCGCAAATCTTATGAGAGTTTGCAGCAAGTGTAGAAGCTTCAACAGATGAGATGTGCGTAGTGTCACAGCGTTGCCTTACATTATCTGCATTATATTTGACATTTTTGCTGATTGCTTCGCGACTTAATGTTGCTTCGGCACAAAACTCAACTTCTCAGCCGCGTGGCTCTGTTCCAAATTTTCTCTGCCCTTCTGGGTTTCACTGTTTTAACAACACAGTTAGAACGGTTACCATTGACTGGGGACATAATGGACACATATGTGATGGACAGTTTGAAGAAGAATGTTATGGTGAAAAAGATCCCTTTGGGTTCGTCAGGGGTCCCAGACAGCAACCTCAAACTGTTGTACAGGGGGATAAAGTGATATTTAAGCCCAGTGAAATGATTACTTTTAGAGTGCGAAATGTTACAAAAAATGCTTATGACAACTGCATCTTGAACACTGGTCAGTTAGTCAATAATGCAACTTCCACATCATTTGAAGTTCCATCAAAGTTTTTAAACCCAGTGGGAGTCAAGTATTTTATTGATGATAATCCCTCACTTTTCAGTTGTAATTTTGGCATAAAACTAGAAATGTATGTACGCAGCCGTCAGCAGCCATACTGCATCAACTCAGCAATGCCTCAGTCAGGTGTCTGTAGTGGTATGGGACTTTGTGCCAGTAATGCAAGTAAGTTTTTTACACGGAACTATACATGCTTGTGTCCCAATTCATATCTAGGAAATTATTGTGAAGAACTTGACAGCTGTCACTCAAGCAGAAATCCCTGTAAGAATGGTGCGACTTGTAGAGACATAATAGATGGTCTTGCTGATAGTTTTAATTGTACTTGCCTGCCTGGATATACTGGGAATCTATGTGACACAAATATCAATGAATGTGCTTCACAACCCTGTCAAAATAAGGGATTCTGTGTAGATTACATTAATCGTTATACATGTTTGTGTGAGCCAGATACTGAAGGAGTCAACTGTGAAACTGTTATTTTTAACATGTGCTCATTACAACCATGTAAAAATGGTGGAACATGTGAAAGGTCAGGAGAAAAAAGACAAAACTATACGTGCACATGTCCACCAAGTTTCACTGGGCGAAACTGCACTGTAAACATTACATCCTCTTCAATTCCATTTTCCTCAATGACACCATTTCAAACAAGTATGCTACTGTCGACAACACTGGTAGTGAATTCCAGCTCAGTTAGACAAGATGTTTCTTCTTCATTTAGTTTTACATCTACGGTATTGACATCTTTGCTAGTATATCGTTCATTAACCCAAACAATAGCAAGCACACCAGAGTTGGCCTCATCAGCTCCATTGCAGTCACGCAAAACTTCTTCAGCATCTCTGTCTTCACAGCAGTCACTTTTACCAACAATCAATACAAGTCTTTTATTGGTGTCAACATCACCAGTGGAACTCTCATCTACCTCACTAACAAAATTCAGTTCTTCATCGACAATCAATACAAGTCATTTATCAGCGTCAACATCACCAGTAGAAGCCTTATCTAGCTCGCTAACAAAATTCAGTTCCTCATCGACCATCGATACAAGTCTTTTATCAGTGTCGACACCACCAGTAGAAGCCTCATCTAGCTCACTAATAAAATTCAGTTCCTCATCGACCATCAATACAAGTCTTTTATCAGTGGCGACATCACCAGTAGAAGCCTCATCTAGCTCACTAATAAAATTCAGTTCCTCATCAACCATCAATACAAGTCTTTTATCAGTGGCGACATCACCAGTAGAAGCCTCATCTAGCTCGCTAACAACATTCAGTTCTTTAGTGAAAGTGGTCTCATCATCAGCTACTCCATTTTCCTCTTCTCCACTTGTTCCATCATCAACACAAGTAGTTTTTGAAAGTTCTTCTGCATCAGCTTCCCAAAATAGAAGTTTAAATGTGGTTTCTGGGACAACTTCAGTTTTGTTTAGTTTATCATCATCAGCAAGTTCAACAATCAAGTCATCTTCATCATCTCAAGCAATAAGTCCCAGCTTACCAACATCAATCTATTCATCAGTTACACCTGCATCATCACCAGCTGCAATGTCAACTGTCATCCAATCATCCAGTATATTATTTTCAAGGCTACCATTTTCTTCTGCAGTTATCACCACATCTAAGATTTCAACTGGTACTTTGCCAACATTCCTCGCCTCATCAGCCACTGTTTTAAGCAAATCTACTTCTTCAATCACAACCACGGTGCCATTATCGACCACTGTGTTTTATACTTCAACTATGACACTCTCTCCTTCAAGAAGTACAGTTATTGTTTTGTCTTCTGTGTGGCCAACATCATCACCTTCCCCAACCTTACCACCCTTAAACCAAACCTGCCTTCACAATCCCTGTATGAACAATGGCACATGTTATGATGAACCATACTCAAGCTATAAATTCCGCTGTGAATGTCCTTACCCGACTGTTGGACCAAAATGCAATAGTATACAAGGTTAGTAGAGTATATAAGTTCCACTGACAGCATTCACATAGTATGCTTCCCCAGTTTGGAAGTTGGTAGACTTCAACTTTGGCGTAAGAAATAATTTATTTCAGACAAAATTTTCTCATCCAGGAACATGTAACAGGTAATAACATATTTTTAAACCCTTTTTTGGAGATTAAGGTGGAATGTTGTGCATTAGATCATATATTTAAATGCTATTTTGCACCTTATAAATGATAAATTATTATTACTATTATTATTATTATTATTATTATATTAATTTAATTAAAGAGAAATAAATGGTCCATAGCATTAGTAAACCCTGTCTAAGTTTAAAATTTTACCCTGATTCAATAACGCTTACCTGCCTTTGACGACTTTATGTACCCTGGTAGCTTTTTTGGTCTTTGTGCATTCACACCTTCCAAATGTTTCAACAGTGTATCAGGGACTTATTAACAGTTTCACAAGTCATGTATCTCTTAAATTCTGTTTTTTTAAAATTTTTTTCAGAGAATGGTGATCTTCACTTCCCAGGCTTCAGACAGGGTTCGTTCTTGGAACACAAGAGCATCTCGTTTAATAACGAACTTAACACCATAGATGTTACATTTCAGACAAATGCTACTGAGGGGCTTATACTTTTTGCTGCCGATCACAAAGAACGTGGAGATTTTATTCAATTGAGTGTTGTTGGTGGTAAACTGGAATTTCGATTTGATCCTGGAGACAGCTTGGTGTTTATCAGGAGTGATCAAAATGTTAACACTGGAGAGACCATCACAGCGACAGCCACGTACGTGTAACATTATAAATATATCGTACTTAATTTACAGCCTTACTGCTCCTTAGTTATCTTTTAAATAATTATTATAATACCATAATAGTCAACAGTTTAGCTTTGTTTTCAAAGTTGGTGTAATGGCCAAGTTTTTCCTGTGAGATAGCTGCATGAAAAGTGCCCGCACTTTTGGTGCCTAAAAAGTGTGAAGAATGAGCCCATTATGTACTGAGCCACTTACCAACCATTTGTTTAATTAACTTCACCTGGCGTAATTAAACAAGCTTCATGTTCGGTCCATGGCTGTATATACAGTAATGGGTTCATTCTTCTCTTTCACTTTTAT